TATTATTATTATTATTATTATTATTATTATTATTATTATTATTATTAACACAAAAACAACAGTGTACACAGCAAACGAGATAACTATGCTGGTTTCGTATCACAGATCACTAGTCAAACACTTTCCAAGTGTTTAGGACTGCATGATGTATCGGCGGATTATGCGAGCAGATCCTAGTAAGGTGGCCTTCTGCAGCTGACCAGTGGTGATTTTGCCAGTGCCAATTGTTTTTAAGTGCTTGTCTAGGTCTTTAGGCACAGCATCCAGTGTGCTGAGTACCACTGGAACCACCTTCACTGGTTTATGCCAGCGTCTCTGCAGTTCGATCTTCAAGTCCTGATATCTGGTGATTTTTTCAAGTTGTTTCTCATCGATTCTGCTGTCACCAGCTATGGCAATGTTGACAATCCACACTTTTTTTCTTCTCCACAATCATGATATCTGGGGTATTATGTTCCAAAACCTTATCAGTCAAGTCCCACAATAGTTTTGCATGCTCATTTTTGACCACTTTTTCAGGCTTATGATCCCACCAGTTCTTTGCTACGGGCAGATTACTACTATTATTATTATTATTATTATTATTATTATTATTATTATTATTATTATTATTATTATTATTATTCCCATAATTCTTTATACTGTTTCCCTGGCTGTAGTTCTTCACACGATAATGTGTTCAAGCATTCCAGAACACAAGTCCAAAAGGAAACCCTTACAACTAATTACAATAAAACAATAACAAAAAAGTAACAATTCTGAGCAGGGGGTTAAATTAGAAGACCTCCAAGGTCTTTTCCAATACTGCTAGTCTGTTATATACTTCTGTCTCCAAATAAACATGTAAATGCATGCCGAGAAGCACACCACAGCTGTAGCCCTGTCCAATGGCCAGAGTACATCAAGCAAGGTACAGAAAGGAGCCACCACCAACACATTATTTACTTATTAATTCATTCATTTAATTTGTATTCCACTTTTACTATTTTTATAAATAATTAAATGGAGGGAACATATCCAACATACTAGCCTGAACAGCAGCTGCATTTGCTTTGAATGTAAACGTGGGTCTCTGCACACACTAGTATCCTATTTTGGTAGGATCCTGGAACATACTAAGAGACCCAGTTTGGTATAATGGTCAGTTTAGGAACTGAGAAACCATGAGTTCTAGTCCTGCCTTAGACACAAAGCTATCTGAGTTAACTTGGGCCAATCACTTTCTCTAAAAAAATGTTATGTACACTGAGAGCATTTGTACCAAGACAAATTCCTTGTGTATCGTATACTTGGCCAATAAAGAATTCTATTCTAAAGCAGACAATGGCAAACCACTTCTGAAAAATTCTGCCAGAGAACTGCAGGGACTTTTCGGTGTGAGTTGGAGAAACACACATACAAAAATCATACCTTCAGTGAAAGCATACTTCTGGTTAGTACTTCTAATGAATATTGGCAGATGAAACAAACAAAGTAAAATCAGTATGTTCATCCTGTTCTCTATTGAATTAGGGTCTTCAGTTGAACATTTGAACATCTTTGCTCAGGTTTGTTCCAGATACAAAGGATTTCCATACATTTAGAAAACAGCAGTAAATAGCTGGAATCAAAGTTCCTAGACAACTATTTTTAGGTGGGCTTAAGGTCCAGCTTCTCATGCTTGCATATGTGTGCTGAATGCATTCAAATACATTCACTTACTTATAACTCTATTGTGAGGTAAAATAGAAGAAAATGTGGTTCCTATCATTGGTAGAGCCCAAATTATAAAAGTTTTAATAAATTGTGCTTTAGCACATTATATTCATTCATTCATTCCTGGGGACAAGTGTTTGTTCATTCATTCATTCATTCCTGGTAGATTTTAACTATTAAGACATGTTCCAGATCATAAGCAAATAGTAGCGAGGAAGTCTGACCAAAGCAAGCAAAGTTGTTTGTAAGGAAGCAGAAGGGCAAATTAACAAGTTTCTTCCTGCAACCCAGAAATACCTAAGATAATTTTCAAAAGAGAGAAAATAAGTGTTGAGAGAGGTCAGTTATTCATTCTTCCGAATCAAGAAGCTAGTTGACCTGGTTAAGCAAATACCTACAGATGGATAACCTCCGCTGGAATTTCAAAAAGCAGCTGATCATAATGTAAAGCTTGTCTTCTTTTTGCTGATAAATGCAATCTTTAATCATTCACCTTATTCCGAACTGGAGGAGAAAGAGGAAGAACGTATGCCAAGGTAAAATGTTAATATCCCTCTTGAGAAACAGCTAAATGCTAAACCGTTCCGAAGTATAATTGAGTTCTGTCATCTGTCTTCAATACGATCATTCTTCTCTCTTAATCTTCTATTTAAAAAAAAAAACAGAAAGGAACTTGGAAAGGAAAGATGGAATTACGCCTTCAGCCAGACTTATTTCAAGTCTGAGTATTTCCTTCGTGATTACCGTTGAGGCAGAAAATATCAGTTCCATTGGACAATGGAAGACTTGCTGAGTATAAAGAAAAGACTAGCAATATACTTTTAAAAGATTAAATCAAATTACAAACTGTAATTTGAGATAAACTTTTTATTTCTTTACAAGAAGCAAAAAGCAATGAATTCCACTATTTCTTTGGCCTAATTATAGGACCGTGGCAATTTATTCATCACACAAAAATGATGCTCATTTACAAAAAACTTACCACTGATGTTTATATGATCATTTTGAAAGTCTTATAATTGAAAACAATAAAACATGGTGTTGGGAGGAAAATTATCAGCAGGAGAGCTATGCAGAAGGATAGTCTTTTGTTTAGATGTTGATGGCCAACCTCAAACATCTGAATTTTTCTTTCTTTCTTCTTATTTTTATCCAATGGAGAATTCAAAGAAAAGTTTTTCAATATTATTGTCGGTCTTAATATTATTAAAGGTAAACTTTTTAAAAACTTCTTGTGATGTTCTTCTACTTCCTTTTTTTTGCAAGCTTTTATTCCTCTTTGTTCTCATTTGGAGAAGACTTTAATTTTTGACTTTTCACCTGACCTCTGCCAGAATGCACCATTTTATTCTAGGTTGTACTTTTAAATTTTCAAAAATAGCATCTTAACATAAACTAGGTAATGCTCTATCTGGTTATTGGAATGGTCATTTCTATATATTTTATATCTAAATTTGTTCTTATCTACCCTTTTTCAACCAGACTGCAAAAACAAATTATCTGGTTTATTTCTTTGTTAATTCCTTCTCTATTCATTTGAATATTTGTGCTTCTGCTTCTTAAGAGTTATTAAGTTTCCCCCATCCTGCATATATATTTATACATTTGTATATGTATGTGTGAGCATGCTTGCATATATACAGTAATATACATATTTATATACACATATATGTACATACATACATACATACATACACACACACCTATGTAAGTATTTATGAATTTATATCTATTAGATTAGATTAGATTAGATTAGATTAGATTAGATTAGATTAGATTAGATTCAACTTTATTGTCACTGCCACAGGCAACGAAATGCAGTTAGCATCTAACCAGAAGTGCAAACCAGCAATGAAGTAT